TGATGAACGTTATGCAAAAGCATCAAATCTATACTGTTTAGTCAGCAATTATATACATCATAAAAATTCATTGAAATTACAACTTACAAGTCAAACATAACATACATGCACCGTTTAGTCGTTTATGTATCTGAAGCTAATTGGAACATCAAATCTATACTGTTTTGCCTTAAATTATTGTTTACAAAGTTTCAAAGAACAGAATTACTTCTGAGCCTTTAACTTCTATTTTCATTATTATAAAATATTCTACATGAAAAGGAAATCAAATGATACCGTGTCTAGCTTTATAGCAACGCAAAATCAGTTCTATAAAAAATAACCCGCAAAATCAGAAAAATGCATTTGGATAGGTTACAAATGATCAAAAAATAAGAAAAGAAATAAAGAATTTTAGTCAGCTGAGCCTGGAAGCCAAAACTAAATGATCGCATTAGTGCTAGCCACATGAAATAGAACAAGAATAATGTAATATTTGATAATGAGAAGACTATTTTAGGCTAAGAAGCAGTTTTGATTTCTAGTTTCTCATCAAAGAGATGAAAAACTTCAAGGATTTGCTAGAATTCAGAGTCAACTATTAGCCGTCCAATATGAAATTTAAATTTATAAAAAAAAAAAACCACACTTAAAATGTAATAAAACCTCTTGATAAAATCAAAGTGAAATGAGGTCGGGTTCAAAGGAAACTTGAATGAATTCACTGCTTTAACGTTCCTTTCTAGAAAAGAGTGAACAACGAAGAAAATGAGTAATGATAAATAAACATTAATTATCTTTTTGTGCATCAAGTTTCAATAATGGATTTGGAAATATTAGGAAAGTCAACGTTAAATAAATAGGAAAATCTACAAGATGTCATGTATATCCTTAAAAACTTTCGGTTTCTATGTTTTAAGGGGAAGCGAGAGAGTTGGCAGGTAACCATGGGTTTCACCATCTAATTGACAGGAGCGACATCAAGAGCATCCGGATCAAACATGTTTCATGGCTATTTGGGAACAGAGAAAAAATATAAGTAAAAATAATTTAGTATCCTAACAGAAACTTCTGTTTATTGCGCCGGTTTTCCTGAACATTTCTCACCAACAATCCCCCGAGCTAAGCAGCAAAGCTTTTTTTCATGTGTATCTATTCCATATACTGAAACTAGCTTCTTAAACAAGGAAGCAGTGTAGGCATGTCATTCTACTATACATATATGACACTTCGTTTGGATCAGAAATTCCGAAATATCTTGTCATAATATGAGAAGCATTAAAAGCAAAATAATCACATCAATAAGCTGCTTATACACAATCAGAAAGCTGAGAGAACATGATATGGGAAGTTATTAGTTCTCCAACCAGTCAACCTCAATTCATATCAAAGCTCAGTCGAATCTACTGTTCTTGGAAATCCCAGATTTATGAAGTCTTTAACTTTGGCATCTAACTTGATCACAAAAGAATCAAGTGATAACCATATTCCAGTTCCAACCTCAATAACAATACTCTAACAATAAAAGAAAAATTACTCAGCAAAATATTATCTAAAATGATTAATCAAATCTCGCAGAAATCATTATATCTAACAACTATCCTCACAAGAATGAAACACAGTTGGACCAATTCAAAGAAAAGGGTAAACAGAGTGTCTATCTAAACACAACTTATCTAACAATGGCAAATAAACAACATCACTGAAACGCCTACAACTTGAAAATTTCAGCATACTTACCCGTAAAGAGCTTGAATGCAGTGGGCACGCTTCTCTTCTGTGTAACCCAAAACACGTCAGCTTTTCTCATACTATACAATCCTGGATCTATAATGATTGGCTTAGCCCTCTGAAACCTGCCATTACAACAACAACAAAAAAAACCCAACAATCAATCAGTATCTCGAAATAAAAGATGAGCGAAAAAGGGAAGTTAGAGGGAAAAGTAAAATTTAAAAGCTCTAATAAAAGAAACGAACTCACTCTTTCCACCCAATATTGCTTGTATGATCAATGAAGTTCAGATCCCTTGGCAAGTATGAAAATGTGTGCAACAAATCTGAAAGATACCCAAAATCTCAAAGCCAATATCAAGTAGCAAAGCTAGAAAAACACACAGAGAGGAATGGAGGGAAATAAGACAAATAGTACTAAAAATGAGGGGAAAGACGTTTCAATTCCCAACTTGGAAAAATCAAGGATGAAAATGGATTTTTCCTCTCCAAAGAAATGGGGGGTTTGGGGGGGGGGGAATTAATTATTTGGAAGATTCAACTCACCATCTTGGGTAACAAGGGGATAATCAGTAGCACTAAGATTAATAAACCAATCCCAATCTCCACCTTCTTTCAACAAAATCGCAGCAGCATGAAGCGTATTAGCAACCATAGTAGGGCCTCTGTAAGTAACCAAATTAGCTTTCACAATCATCCTAACATTCCCAACTTCGTTAAACACTTGATGATCTTTCAAAAACTTCTCCAGATCGAGCCTCTCTTCAGAGCCAGCTTCCCGGTCAAGATGAACAACGTATTGATTCAACGGGTGGTAAAGGGCTAAAAGGGCCCTTTTCAGCATCCGACCGTCGCCAGCGGTGCCGGAAATGAGGTAAGCGAAGCGGGGAGGCGGAGGGAGGGTGGAGATAGGGATGGGTTTTAGTCGGTTCTCGACGAAAGGGGAGGAACCACCGGTTACGGCGGAGGAACGGTAGAAGAAAAGGAATGAGGAGCCATCTAAAGAGGTTAAGGTTGTTAAGAAGAGTAAAAATAAGGAAACGATGGAGCCAATAGCTAATGGGAAGATCCATCTACGCTCCATCGCTTGATTGTTGTTGCGACGAAACTGCAAGTAATAGCTTCTTAATCTCTTCATTTTCTTTCAAGTTGTTTGGATAGAATGAAAGAATTAAAGGGAAAATTGAGATTGTTCGATTTGCTGCTTTTGGACTTTTGAGTGAAATTTAAGAGAAGTTTTCTTCTTCTTTGGTACATGTTAGATACGGGGAGGAAAGCATTTCACCATGAAAATAGGGGAATTTAGGACAGATTAATCAAGGTTATAAACTATGGTCAGATTATTAATTTCTTTTCAAAGTTATATAGTCTGGTCAAATTATTAATTATAAACATAATATATCTTTGTTATCCTCTCTGTTTTTAATACTTCATCTTTGTTAATATGGACCGACTCAGATCGTACACCAGATTTTAATGAGTTAATCTCTATAGAGAGAATTTCTGTATACACAATAACCTGAACTCAAAACATGTTTATCAAACTGTTTACTACTTAAACCATACCTTGTTCTGATAATAAATCATAATAGTTTGAAGTGTTAGAAGTCCTTGAATTTTTATTAAAAAAATAATTAAATCTTTAAAAAAATTCATTTTATTAAATTGTATACTCCTGAATTTCATCAATACACTCATTTTACCAACGTTGATTATTAAATCTAATATTTTATTTTATATTTAAGTGTACCAAGTCTAGTAGAGTTAATTGTACTACAAGAAAGATAACTATTCTACACGAAATTTATTATTATGTTATATTTTATTTTAATAGGCCTTTATTGTTGTATTTATGGAGTTAAATTAAACATTATTATTTCTTATTATAAGTTTAAGATTTTATTGTAAATTTTCAACAACCCTTTTCAGTTCTCACTCGAATTGTGAGTTTGTTGATTTTCATTTATTTTCTAAATACCCGTCACCGTATTCCTCCCTTCCCCACCTTTCCCACCTCATCAACTCCCAAACCCAACCATCTCTACATGATAATATGGTGGCCCAAGGAATGGCAGTCTCATTGAGTGACACTTGTCGAACGCTAACAAAATATCCCCATCGTGTGTCTTGAGAGCCTCGACGGCCTTACTCCTCCACACCCCGTCTTGTTTCATGATCAACTCAATGTCCCTATGCTCAACCCCAGTCTCATCAATTTCTTCCTCATGGCAGTAATGTTAGTTTTCTTAATCTTAGTTTTATGAACAATCCCTACGAGAAAGAGTGTGACGTGGAGTTGCTTGGTTCCAGGTTTCACTTATTTTCACTAATTTCTTGGCTTGTGTTCGAGCTGGGAGTTGAATCCATACCCCCTTTGCTTGCTAAAACTGAATATAGAGCAGCAGCAGTCTCCTTAACCCATTGCGATGAATTTTATAAACACCAGTTATCCTCAAACATGATCCAAGTTAATTTAGTAGTAAACTGTTTGCCGACTATGATTTCTGCAGGACCACACAGTTTTAAACGGAGTGGAAACCGAAGGCTGCACATTTAAACTTGGTTCTGCTCTCTAATTTAACATCACCATTACAACAAAAGCTCTCTTTTAGATACATTTTCAATGTTAAAAATCGTAGACAGTTTTGAATTGACATTGAAATACTTACCAGATATAATTAGAGATGCAACAGTACTAAATTATGAACTCGAGCACCCCTTTGACAGTACACCAACTTTCATAATCCTTTTCTTTTCCACCACCCTAAATGGAGGTGTTGCAGATAATATATCCGGTGGAAGCCAAGTAAAACTTTAGGTGTCTTATCCCCATTAATTTACAAAACACACATAGCTTATGTGTTTCAATCCGAAGAAAAAAAAACTAATAATCAAACATGTATCCTATATATAATAATAAGCCTTAATACAAAAATGCCTATACTATACAATTTTTTTCTTATTTAAGTGTTTTAACTTTTTTAACGGTGAGATATTTAAAATAGTAATGTTTATAATGTTATGCTCTTAGATTGAAGAAGATTTATTGTTTTATTTTTTAATTGTTACAGAATTTCATTAAAGGGTTAACGAGAGTTAAAATTCGAATTTTTAAAATCGAGTGGACCAATAATATAAGGGATTAAAACTTTTTTTTTTGAACCGGTGACCAAAATCGAATAGATAAAAAACATAAGGAACCATCCGTATATATCTATAAAACACGGCATAAAATAAAATTGAAAAAACGACCAAGTTTTGGTGTGAACCGAGTTTTTGTTCAGAGTGGTGCAGCGCAGCTCAGTGTCTCTCTTGTTCTCACAAGGCTCCCTAAAACCCTGAAATGGGTTCCTTATTCAGAGCGTCAAAAACCCTTAAAATTCGAAAATACTTATCTCCATTATCTTCAATCAACAACCCATTCGATGCTTTTGGCTTATCTCAGAGGTACTGCTCCCATTCTCGTCAAAACAGCAAAGAATCTGCTCCGATAGATTTGAGTCGATACCCCATTGAAAAAATAAGGAACTTTTCAATTATTGCCCATGTTGATCATGGAAAGTCTACTTTAGCTGATAGGCTTTTGGAGCTTACTGGGACAATTAAGAGAGGTCATGGTCAGCCTCAGTATCTTGACAAGTTGCAGGTAATTTTGCTTTTTAATTTTCATCGTGGCTTTTTTGTTTGGATCAAAACTTGAATTGGTAGTTCTATATATATCTTACAAATTGATGAAAAGGCAAGGTATCGGCATTGCAATAGTTGGTTTAAAGAGAAACTAGACTTGGGTATTTGTTATCTTTTCATGTAAACGTTAAATTTGGTTTAAAATGAGAAATAAATAAATAAAGATATTGAGTATAGCTTTGGTTTAAAAGTGCAAACATCATTATGTTTTTTATGTTATTAGGTAGAGAGGGAAAGGGGAATAACTGTTAAAGCTCAAACAGCGACTATGTTCCACAGACACAAGTCCCGTGGATGCGATGAGCCTTCCACATTTTTGCTAAATCTGATTGACACACCGGGTCATGTGGACTTCAGTTATGAGGTGTCTAGATCTCTGGCAGCTTGCCAAGGTGCTCTTTTGGTTGTTGATGCGGCCCAAGGTGTTCAAGCTCAAACTGTTGCAAACTTTTATCTTGCTTTTGAATCTAACTTGACTATAATACCTGTCATAAACAAGATTGACCAGCCAACTGCTGACCCTGATCGTGTCAAAGCTCAGTTGAAATCAATGTTTGATCTTGAGCCTAGTGATGCCCTTTTAACGTCTGCTAAGACAGGGCAGGGGCTCGAGCATGTCCTTCCAGCTGTCATAGAAAGGATTCCTCCCCCTCCTGGAAGCAGTGGTTCACCTTTGCGTATGCTTCTGTTGGATTCCTACTACGATGAGTATAAAGGTGTAATTTGCCATGTGGCCATTGTTGATGGTGCATTGCGTAAAGGTGATAAGATTTCATCTGCTGCAACTGGTCAAGCTTATGAAATTTTGGATGTTGGGATCATGCATCCTGAGCTTACTCCCACTGGAGTTCTTCTAAGTGGACAAGTTGGATATGTGGTGACTGGCATGCGTTCCACAAAAGAGGCACGTATTGGGGATACACTATATCACACTCGGACTACTGTAGAACCCCTTCCTGGTATACACGAGGCTTTATTTAATCTTTATAGGATTGTTACACCCTCTTTTTATCTGCTATGCTTCTAAATTGTAGGTTTCAAACCCGCAAAACATATGGTGTTTTCTGGTCTCTACCCTGCAGATGGATCTGATTTTGAGGCACTTAACCATGCTATAGAGAGGCTAACTTGCAATGATGCCAGCGTCTCTATTACTAAGGAGAGTAGCACGGCACTTGGACTGGGTTTTAGGTGTGCTGTCTTATGTTTTATGAGTTAATCTCAAAGTACCAACTGTCTTTATTATGGAAATTTACATTGTTATAATGGGATAATCTCTAGTGTGTCTTGTATTCCTTCTGCAGGTGTGGATTCTTAGGCTTACTTCACATGGATGTTTTTCATCAAAGACTTGAACAGGTGATCAAATTTTCCATTTATCCATTTACCTAAATTTTCTTTCTTTATTTACAAGTCATAACAGTTTTTATCACGGATGTAGGAGTATGGAGCTCATGTCATTTCTACTGTTCCAACTGTTCCATATATTTTTGAGTATTCTGATGGAAGGTACATATAACAGTGACCTTTTATGATCACTCTTTATTTGGAGAAACATAAGCTTCGTGAAGTTGCTTTTGACATGTTTTTTATATCTTGATCTTATGCAGTAAAGTAGAAGTTCAGAATCCTGCTGCATTGCCCTCAAATCCCAAGAAACGAGTTACAGCTTGCTGGGAACCTACTGTAATAGCAACTATTATTATTCCTAGTGAGTAAGCTCCCATAACCCTTTACAATCAATTTTCTACGGCATGAAAAGGTTTCATTCTGCAGGACTTTTTCCTTGCTTGTAGGTATGTGGGGCCTGTTATCACCCTCTGCTCGGAGCGGAGAGGCCAGCAGCTGGAGTACTCATTTATAGACAGGTGATTTATACCATTATGGTCTCTTTAACCTGTAATTTTTAACTCATCAACGGTAATCTTCAGTGAAATAGTTTCTGTTTCTTTTGTCCTGATGTAGAAAAATCTGCTGCCTTGCCTCCTAGTTGAGTAAATGAAATACTAAAATATCTGATGAGTAAATTTAGGCTCTTTTTTTGTAGTAGCTGTGCTTTCAACTAATGAAGCCTTCGTTTGTTTTTTATAATGTTACTCTGACATCCACTTGTGCCTTTTTGTTTACTATAAAAAATTGTATTTTTTTATCCGTAAAAGAATCATGTTTTAATGTTTCAGTACTTATGCCCAGTCATTCTTTTTATGCAGTCAACGGGCTTTTATGAAGTATCGGTTACCTCTGAGGGAAATTGTGGTCGACTTTTACAATGAGTTGAAGAGTATAACATCTGGATATGCCTCCTTTGATTATGAGGATTCAGAGTAGGCTTCTCTCTCTCTTACTCACTCACACACAAGCACACAGCTTCATACACACACTCAGATACGTGCGTACACTCATGACAGGGCCCAGCATCATAAGGGCTGGTGCTGTAAAAGTCTGCAATATGCTGTTTAATGTTCTATAATAATGCATTGGGGAGCAAGTGGTGAAACAAATTAAGACAACTGGTTTCAGTTGGATAAATGTCCTCATTTCCTGGGTTGCTACCAATGAAAAATCCTACTTGATCTGGCCTAAATTTTCAGTGAAATACAACGTCGAAGTGCTAGTCTTCTGGCATTTACACACTTCTGATTGGACATTTGATGTCATGAAACCTTTGCTGAAGTTGTTTTCCTTTGCCTCCACAAAATTGGAGCCTCTTATTCGTATTATTGACACGTTATTGATTTTGTTTACAGATACCAACAATCTGATTTGGTGAAACTTGATATCCTCTTAAATGGACAGCCAGTTGATGCCATGGCCACAATCGTTTACAATTTGAAGGCACAACGAGTTGGTCGTGAACTGGTGGACAAGCTTAAGAAATTCATCGACAGGTAGTTGGTTTAAAGTCAATATGAGCTTTGTATGCATTCAATTATAGTTAATACAGATGGTCCAATTCTAATCAGGCAAATGTTTGAGATAACCATTCAAGCTGCAATTGGATCAAAGGTTATTGCAAGGGAGACGTAAGTATTGTGTCTATCATTCCTTAAGGTTCCTTAAAACTCATTTAGTATTCATTGGTTAGCTAAGCCTTTATTTGCTGGATTCAGAATCTCGGCAATGAGAAAGAATGTCCTTGCAAAGTGTTATGGTGGGGATATTACTCGGAAGAGGAAGCTTCTAGAGAAGCAAAAGGAAGGAAAGAAGCGAATGAAGCGAGTTGGTTCCGTTGACATACCTCAAGAAGCTTTTCATCAACTGCTGAAGGTTTCATAGTGTAGGACTACATCAGCAATGATGGTGGTAAGTTCCGAATTCCAATGTGTTTAGTTAATGGTTAAATTCAACCTGAACTTTTTCGTTCATATATTCTCTAGTGCCAATGGCAGCAAAGCTCTTTCTGCATTTTCCAGAGTCTACTAATATACTAAATGACTGGTCATACATACTGATCAAAGTGAATTTTCCTTTCAACCTCATTAATTGATGATTTGGTGAAGAGGACACTTGAAAACTGTTTTAGGATAGGTGTAGCTACTACTTAAGCTATGCCTTATAGTCTCAGTCTTACAGTCCACACCATCATGAAAGTTGTTCACTTTGGCCCTTTAGACTTTACGGCTTGTCTACAAAAGGCATCTCTCAGTTTGAAGATAGTATGGGCTTTTATATCCCAGTGAAAATTTAGTAGACAACTGATATGTGATTCATGGCTCAGAATTTGTTGCATGGATGTATAACTGAAGTTATTAACTCATCTTTTTCAGCTATAAAGATTAAAGAACCAGTTAAGTGCATGCATTACTGTGAGAACCTGGTTGCAGAAGCTGTTGGAAAATCTGAAGCAGTAAAGATGCATTTGGCTCTATTTACCTGTATGCCTTACAATAAACTGCCCTAGTTTTTGGATAGGGATCATAATCAGTTTCATGAACCTTTTCATGCTTAAAGATGTTATGTTTTATTTCACAACAATTTAAGATTATAGTTATTACTACAATGGTGTCAGAGTGTAGTCATCGGATAAGTTGATATTTTTGTAAAACCCCTCTTAACTATTTTTAGCGATAAAAGTAGGTGATGTTTTTATATAAGGTTTAACATACATTTTGGTACCTGAACTTGGCTTCAAGTTCAATTTGGTACTTGATGTTTTTTTGTTCAATTAGGTACTTGAACTTGACTTCAAGTTCAATGTGGTGCCTTGTGGAAGGAGGTATCCAACGTTTCATTAACCAATGATAACATGACATATAGCAAGCTTTTAATTTTCTTTGAAAATACATAAAATAAATTTTATTATTTTTAGCACATGAATTACCCTAATTATTTCTTTCCTTCAGGGCTGTGAATAGCCATGGTAACTGTGTTGTCACTTTGAAATAATTACCCTAATTATTTTTCAATTAACCCATCAAAATTCATATTTAGTGTTTTTAAGCCCTTGAGAGTTTTTGGTCGATAATTTGCATAATACCCTTTTGTAAAGGGAGACAGAAGTTGAAATATTTTAATCACTATGGTTGACATTTTATTTTATTAAGAGATCCACATCTTTTTACTAACACATCACGGATTAGATAAGCTTAAACTAAAAAAAAAATCTTAAATAATCTCTTTTTTCCTTTAAGTCTTTAAATTGTTTTTTAATCAAAACAAGTCCTTAAACTATTATATATAAGTTTATATAAGTATAGACTATCTTTTTTATCAAAATAAATCTTTAAACCATGTACTTTTTGTTTTAAATCCTTAAACTATTTTTTGTCAACATAAGTACCTACTTTTGTGTGATATGTATTTTACTGGCTGAAAAAATATTAACTGAAAAAATGACACGACCTAAAATAATTACATATAATAATTTAATGATTTATTTTGACAAAAAAATAGTTTAATAAAAATATATAATTTAGAGGCTTATTTTTAATTTAAACCGATTAAATGCGAGTGAACATGCATGACCAATATATTAAACATTAAGTGGATTAAATATAAGTAAATATCTATTATCAATAGATTAAATGTTGTGCGGATTACAAACGGATGAACTTCTAAGATCAACAGATTAAACGTTGAATTTAATCATGTGTATGATGAATTGATTAAAAGAAAGATACATACATACTATTTCTTTGGTTCTTTATTATCCGAACCAAGTGCAGAGGCACTATTGAAAACAGAAAAGGACAGAGGCGATGATTGAGGCGAATTTGCTATACGAGAGCTTGAAGATGTAAGCCCTTTAAAGTAGCCTGATGCACATAATGATGGATCCTTTAAACTTTGTGAAACGGTGGCCTGCATCAGATTATGACCAAAACTCTTGGCTCTTTGATTACTTTGATCCACCATTGAAATGGCAGCAGATATTAATGATCTGAAGCTTGGGTCCGATGTGATTGCCTTGGTTAACGTCTGGTAGAACTGATCCTGGATGGGTTCTGGGTTCCCAGCTAGGTAAACAGATGGTAAAACGTTGGATACCGGAGAAGAAAAGTTGAGATTCGTCCAAGGAAATCTGGGTGTTGTAGGTAAGTTGATGACAAACGGCGACGGAGAGCCGGTGAGGTCTAGAGTAATCGTTGGGAACGAAGGTGATCTCGAGTTATCATGAAGGCTGCTGCTGAAACTGAGTCCATTGAGTTCAGTTGAGAGAGTGGTAGCTGAATTTAGGCCTGGTTGAGATATTGATGAGCCCGATAACAGCATGGAAGCGGCTGCCGCAGTGGTGGAAGCCATGGCCGTGGCTGATTCTGGAATTGGGTGGTTGTGGTTCCCTTCATAAGTTGTGGTTAAGATGGACAAATCCTCAACACTTCTTTGCACCTGTTTTCTTACCGGACACCCTGGTGCAGCTGTGCAACGATAGTAAGCTCTGGGACATGGATTTCCTTTTGATATTTTCTGTCCATATTTCCTCCATTGGCACCCATCATACATCTATAAGGATAGAAATGAATCAAATCAAACAAAATTCCGCCATAACCAAAAGCTTGAAAGCTTTATACTAACCGTTAGTGCTTCACATCTGGTTCTTACAGAAACCCTAGCTCTCTTTACTTGGCTTTTATGTCCTACAGCCTCTTCATGATCCCCACTTGTTGTCTTCTGAACTTTGCTCGGTGCCTGCCCTGTATCATCTTCTTCCTTTGGTAACTCTGAATTATTTTTAGTAGACAATAGAAATTTAGGGTCTAATCCCAGAGTTAGACCGCCATTGATGTTATGATCATCATCTGCTTCAGCTTTTCTGTTGATTGTTGTCCTCTTTTGATCATCTCTTTTGGAACCAGTTGGACTTCTTCCAAGGGAAAGTGAAACAAGTTCGGGTTCTTCTGCACCTTCAATGGCGGATCCTTGTTGAAGCATTTCTAAGAAACGCAGTTGAAGAGATTTGTAATTCTCCTGGATTTGCTTTATCATCGTCTTCAACCTCTCATTTTCTTCCATTGCTGATTCAATTTCTTTCTCCTAATTAATCAACATACATAGTTATATTACATATTTGACTTAGAAATTCATACATACATACTATATATGTATATGTATATGTATATTTACCTGGCTATCTTTTGGACAACAATCATCTTCATGGCAGACAGTTTGAGTAGTGTTTTCTTCTTGCTTAACAGCAGCATCTTCCCTTGACGTTTTCATCAATAAAACCTCCATTGATGTATGAGAAATGAGGCTTTTCTTATACAGTTCCAAGGCACAGAAATGTCAACACCCCAGCAACACTTGAAAGATCAATTTCATTATTTTAAAACAATGAGTAAACCATTTGAGAAGAATTCAACTTCAACGTTTTACAGTTTAGACTTAAAAATATTAAGGGTAAAATACATCCTAGGTCAATCAATTATTACTTTGATTACAAACGGGCCAAATTTTCTTTTAAAAGTCATAATTTAATCACTCAATTAAAATAGTGTGACAAATAGGTCATTGACCATTGAATACTAGACGGAATAGGTATTTGACATGATATAATAATAGTTTTAGTTCCAAATAATTATACATTCGATCAATTTAGTCCTAATTTGAAACAATTTAATAAATTTAACATTTCATATTTAAAAATTGAGAAAATCGCCTCAGTGACCAAAAAAAAGTTATAATATACGATTTTAACCAACTTTTTTTGGATTTGCCAAAATGACCAACAAAATCGCAACGCGAAATAAAAATCGCAACGCGATCCCCAGAATCGCAAATCAGTTTCCAAAATCGCAACGCGATTCTTGAAAATCGCAATGCGATAGTACAAATTCGCATTGCGATTTTCCAAAATCGCAACGCGAATATGAAAATCGCAACGCGAACACATAAATCGCAACGCGTATCCGTAAATCGCAACGTGTATCCGTATATCGCAACGCGTATCCGTAAATCGCAACGATAATACATAAAATCGCAACGCGTATCCGTAAATCGCAACGCGATATTTAAAGCGCCATTATAATCGCTACGCGTATTTTATTTTCAAATTACAAAAACCAATATTAAGACAAAATCCCGTAATCGCAACTCATAACCTAAAACCTAAAATCACAACTCAGTCCCATCTCCATCTCTCACTCTCTACGGCGAAGAAATCCGTCCCCATCTCCGAAGATTTCCGTCCCCATCTCCGGCGAAATCCCTCACAACCATTCACGGTCAGAAATCCCTCACAATATTCAGAAATGGAAAATCAACCTCCGAGGGTTAGTTTTTTTAATTATTTTTATTTTGAAATGTTTGCATTATTGTAGGTTTTTCATATTGAAACTGATGATAAGTTTACTGGTCATTTCAATAATAGATTAACCATTTCACTTAGATTTCATTTCGCGTTACGATTCTGTCGTTGCGATTTTCATTTCGCGTTGCTATTCTCTCGTTGCGATTTTCAAGTTAGTATTTGTCTTTGTCTTTGTTCTGTCTTTTGGTTGAAGTAATGCAATCCATTCAAGTTTCAATTTGCAGAAGAGTCGCAACGAGATAAATGAAAATCGCAACGAGAGAATGACTGTCGCAACGAGAGAAATGAAAATCGCAACGAGAGAATCGCAACGCGAAATGAAAATCGCAACGAGAGAATCGCAACGCGAAACCAAAATCGCATTGCGATTTTCATTTCGCGTTGCGATTCTCTCGTTGCGATTTTCATTTCGCGTTGCGATTCTCTAGTTGCGATTTTCATTTCGCGTTGCGATTCTCTCGTTGCGATTTTCATTTCAACCAAAAGACAAAACAGTGTTGCAAATTTTAGTTTCAAGAATAAACTACTACTTTTTATGTTTATTGTTTTTGGTATATCTTCACAGTGTAGTTTTTGGTATATCTAACTTGGTATGTTTATTGTTTTTGTAGAAATTTTTTTCGGCTCAATTGACCTTGAGAAATAAAGTCAGCCTGGCCACTACAATTGCTTCGAAGCTTTCACCTGCTCAAAGACAATTGTTTGAGGAAACCTGCTTCGGGCCATGGCTGAGAGTACAGCATCCGGGTGGAGATGCTAATTTGACCCATTTGTGGCTTCAGACCATGACATCAAATCTACCCGACAGTATACAACGTGGTGAGGAAGAGATATGGTTTCATTTTCCACCAGCGTATACTTGTTTTGGGCGGAAGGAGTTCTGCTTAATCACTGGTCTACGATTCGGACACGATGATGTAGGCCGGTACACTCGTCATATCGCCCGCCCATCATGGTTATCCCGGGTTTTTCCGGATGAGTCAATGGAGAAGCCGAACCTACATGTCGACGACCTGAAGAAATTGTTTAATAAGAAAGCTGGTTTCACTCGGATGGATGACGTCGATGTTGTCCGAGTATGCCTTCTACTACTTGTGTATGCCGGCTTTTTAGGCAGAGAGGCCAGACAACCTATTCATCGGGAGCTAATAATATTGGTAGAGGACCTGAATGCATGGAATCTGTTTCCGTGGGGTTCGTATATATGGAAAGCTACCTGGACTAAGTTGTCGTCTGCCTTTGATGACCGCAAAAGTTTGCGGGGCGATGGGTCCAAATACACTTTGTCAGGCTTTGTTTGGGCCTTTAAGGTAAGAATTTCTATATAATGTTTCTAAAATTATAATTAATTATTTAACAATTACTAATTTTGTTATTATATTGTTTGTAGATTTGGATATTCGAGGCTTTCCCCAGCATGCGTACATATGCAATAAAAACGTCAAATGATATTCCCAGGGCTATTTCCTGGAAGAGGAAAACTCTGTTGGATTGGGAAGACTTAATACCATATGCGACAATAAATAATGTAAGTTAACACAAATACTTTCATATAATATAAACAAGTTATTAATAGTAGACATTTAACTTTGTTTGAGTTTTATATTTTAGGAGGCCAACATTCCATTACAAAGACTGACACCCACGGAGGAAGAGCTTGCCACTGATTGGTGGCAAGCTAGTCAGAGTTTTTTTGATGGCACGGATGATGAGCAGCATCCACTTCCTCCAATTCGAGAGCCATCACCTCACCTAGAGCCATCACCCGATCGACCCGACTATACACCTCTAGAACGAGAGCCATCACCTATCCCGTCACATCATCGAGCCTCTTCTCCACCATCACCTCATGATAGGCGACCGGCAAAGATGCCACGACTCCTATCTCCCTGTTCTCCACCTCCACCTCAACGGGATGAGTCAAGGGAGTTACGTGATAAGGTCAATGCCTTGCGTGAGGAGATCGGTACTCTACGCGATAACGATGGTGCATGGCGTGTGGAGGTGTCAACTTTACGTGGTGAGGTTGCCGCTCTACGTGAGATGATAGTATCGTTGCAGAATGAGGTTCATACTCTACGCAACGAGGTAAGTTTAAGATTTTCCATAGTTAACTTAATGATAAATTTACTCGTAATTTCACTTAGATTAGCCATTTCACTTAGATTGCTTAGTAAATTTATTCGGTTGCTGCCAATTCTGCTAAACTGTGTATTCTTTAACACTGTGAAATAGTATTTGTCTTTGTTTTGTCTTTTGGTTGAAAGTAAATTTGTTCGGTTGCTGCCAATTCTGCTAAACTGTGTATTCTTTAACACTGTGAAATAGTATTTGTCTTTGTTTTGTCTTTTGGTTGAAAGTAAATTTGTTCGGTTGCTGCCAATTCTGCTAAACTGTGTATTCTTTAACACTGTGAAATAGTATTTGTCTTTGTTTTGTCTTTTAGTTGAAAGTAAATTTGTTCGGTTGCTGCCAATTCTGCTAAACTGTGTATTCTTTAACACTGTGAAATAGTATTTGTCTTTGTTTTGTCTTTTGGTTGAAAGTAAATTTGTTCGGTTGCTGTCAATTCTGCTAAACTGTGTATTCTTTAACACTGTGAAATAGTATTTGTCTTTGTTTTGTCTTTTGGTTGAAAGTAAATTTGTTCGGTTGCTGCCAATTCTGCTAAACTGTGTATTCTTTAACACTGTGAAATAGTATTTGTCTTTGTTTTGTCTTTTGGTTGAAAGTAAATTTGTTCGGTTGCTGCCAATTCTGCTAAACTGTGTATTCTTTAACACTGTGAAATAGTATTTGTCTTTGTTTTGTCTTTTGGTTGAAAGTAAATTTGTTCGGTTGCTGCCAATTCTGCTAAACTGTGTATTCTTTAACACTGTGAAATAGTATTTGTCTTTGTTTTGTCTTTTGGTTGAAGTAATGCAATCCATTCAAGTTTCAATTTGCAGAAGAAGAAATAGTTTACTTTCGCAACACGAAACTTAAAATCGCAACGCGAAACCAAAATCGCAACGCGAAATGAAAATCGCAACGACAGAATCGCAACGCGAAACCAAAATCGCAACGACAAGATCGCAACGCGAAACCAAAATCGCATTGCGATTTTCATTTCGCGTTGCGATTCTTTCGTTGCGATTTTCATTTCGCATTGCGATTCTGTCGTTGCGATTTTCATTTCGCGTTGCGATTTTGGTTTCGCGTTGCGATTTTAAGTTTCGTGTTGCGAAAGTAAACTATTTCTTCTTCTGCAAATTGAAACTTGAATGGATTGCATTACTTCAACCAATAGACAAAACAAAGACAAATACTAACTTCAGGGTATTAGTTTGAAACATATTTTTCTTTGTTATCTGATGCATTTTGTGAACTATGATAGAATAATGACTTGGGTGAATACAATGCAAGTTTGAAACATATTTGTCTTTGTTTTCACTGTTTAAATATCATGTCTGTTTATTTACTGATTTTTGTATTTAATTATTTAGCGGCCCGATAGAGTGGATGCTTTACGTCGGGTTATGCTTGCACGACGGAGTTCACGCATCAGACAGCGTGCACGTGCTATTAAGTCTCCGTACACCCCAATAGTGCGAAGACACCGCAAGAAGAAGCCCGACTCGCCTGTCATCCCTCAAGAGTCCACTCCTATCGTTGAAGAGGCCCCCCTATCATTCCTCGAGAGTCCCCTCCCACCGTTCAAGAGGCCACTGTCATCATTGAAGAGGTCCCTCCCACCATTCAAGAGCCCGATTCACATGGCGTCATATGTAGGCTTCTTGAGAAACCCTCTGACGTGCCGGACATGATGGATTCAAGTTGGCTCTCGTATGAGTTACCGGCCAGTACCATACCGGTATCTGAAGAGGAGAGGGATCAACTACCGGACACAATTCTGGATAACACCCTTTGGGCTAAGACCGCTGTTGATTTTTATCTACATGAGCAGAGC